TCCATGTATCTTTTCTCTGTCGTGTGCCAGGAATGGTACCTACATCACATCCATATTCTATCATTTCTACTATCAGTACCTGTACCTTACCGACTGTACGGGTTGCTGGGTTGTCTCAACTGGCCCTTGCCGTTGCTCTTTTGCCTGTTCCATCCTGGCATCACCATCTTTTTCTTTTTCTTTTGCCCTGTTGGCTTTGCTTCTTTTCTTTTTCTGTCCATATTCCTCCGATGCTTGCTTATCCCACCCCTGTTGGAGCAAAACCCCACGCCAGACGCACCATTTCATGATCGACCAACTCCTACGGAGCACTCCTTTGTTTCTTTTCTACCATCTTGTACGAATATGTCTTCCTCCCCCGGTATGTATTGCCAAGAGTGAGCGTCCTTGCTGTGGCTCGGACTCCCTTTGGCGGATGGATTATTAGCAATCTTGTCGTCTGCGTCCGTCCGCCCGCCCGCCCGTCTTAGACTGAAGAAGACAGTGGTGGTGTCCAACTTACCCGTATTCAATTCCCCCAAAGCCGACGAGCGGACGGACGCACAACTTATCAACAAGCGGGCGGCAAGTGAGAGTCGCCTTGTGGTTCCGTGCGGGATTCCTCCTGGCGGACAGGACACTTCCCATTCCATCTCGGTCTCCCGTCCGCCGGCAAACTATGCAACACGGCCTCCACGATCCACGGGCTGACGGTCGATACCTACCAACAGGTTTCGCTTGCTTCCGCTGCAGTTTGAGGATGCTTACACGCGCCGCACGCTGCAGCTACCGGAATCGGTTGAGTTACCGCTCGCTGACGGACGATACGAAGCAAACCAAAGCCTATTATTGACTCGCCGTCGTCTTTGACACTCCTTATTTCCCCCTCTCTCTCTTTCCAACACGGACACCCAACGACTCATCAACCACCTACTGTATCCCGAGCTGCCTAATATCTCTTGTCATGTCAGTCAAAGTCTAGCCCGAAGGCCCGGATCCTCTTCCTAAATGATGCGGTGGCCACCCCTTTGCCGACAGGCGGCGGCGACGGCGGCGGCGGCTATCGTGTGTGGTGTCTCTGCTCTTTCAAGCCGCGCAACGACTAGTCGCACGCGCATACCTGCCCCTTTGCCCTTGGCTTGCTTGATTCCGCAGACAACTGAGTCTGGTGTTTGGGAAATGCTCGTCGCTCCAACGACGCTGAATCGGCCTGCCCCGTCCAGTGCCACGCCGGTCGTCCCCTTTTTCCCCCCTCCATGGAAGCAGTCCCAACTTGTCGGGGAAAACAAACCAAGGAGAGCCAGGTAAAGAAGGGAGGCTGGCTGGCGTGTTCCACGAGGTATCCATTTTGCGTTCCGTTCTTCAAGATCACCGACAGGCGCATGGGTCGTGGTTCTTTCTGAGAGTCTGCGGCCGGCAGGGAACAGGCCCGAGTGGACCAACAAGAGACTCAAGTACGGTAAGGCACGGTACGAGCACCAAACGAGTTGTTCGTCCACCCCCCAGCCCGCTGCAAGGATGTCCGTCCTGACCCTGGGACCTGGGTGCCGTGTGCGTGGACGCCAAACGCCCCAGCGTGCGATGAGCGTGGCATGGCAAGGTCTGGCGTGGCATGGGGCATGGGACATACCATAGTAGCAGCATGGGTAATTATGTCGTCTCAGTCCATGGACGGGACAAGTACCAAAACCAGAGCCACCAGACCAGAGGCCACAGGACCAACGGCAAAATTCAATGGAAATGATATCCGTAGAACATGTTGCCCCAACATGCTGCTGCTGTCCTCTGTATCCGCAGTGTAACTCCTGTTGGCCGGCCGTTGTCGAATCTCGGCGCTGATTAGCCACCCGTTGGCCACTCTGCTAAGACAGAGAAGGTATCTCAGGTACTGATACTGCGCAGACAAACGAGTTGCAGATGGCGTGGCATGGGCGAATGCGGCTTGCTGGTTTCCTGTATGTAGATGGTTCGTTTAGTTCTGAGAGTGAGGTCCGGACACCTTACTCGGCAAGTTCCCGAGGGATGAACCACTCACTGGTTTGAGTCGTCGAGCAGAGCACAGCGCTGCGCGCTACCTTACATTGGCCCCAAAGTGCCTTGGATTCAACAGGGCATCCGGTGTTGGTGCCGGCGCCGGTGTTGGTGCTGTTTCCTTCAGTGCCGTCGGTCTTAGTCCCCAAAGTCTCCTTGGTGCTGCTTAGCAGAAGCAGTGGCCGCGGTGGTTGTCTTGGACATTGCTTGTCATTGCCATGGGGAAAGCTCTCAAAGGGACCTGCTCTCGCAAGATGACGCGCTAAAAGCTCCCAAGCAAGCCGTGAGGGACGGACGTGGGTGTGGTCCTTGGGACTGGTACTGGGACCGGAGGCTGGAGGCGTTGGTGAGGCGTGCCGTACCTGACAGAGAAGGGAAAGGCGCCAACACCATGAACTTGAACTGGAAGGGATGTTGGCTCGAGGTGAGGGAAGAAGACGAGGGAGGCATGGCATGTATGGGATAAGATGGGATTCGTATGGAGAGGTAGTGGAGAGGTCCTGAGTTGTATGAGGCAAGGGCAAATGATTTGGCAAGGGGTACAAGAGCGTGACTTGTTCCCTCCACATATCTGTCGAATGTCCATGCCACAACACCACCATCTCAACATCGCCATCGCCATCGCCATCGCCTCATCGCCCTCATCCTGGTAATAAGCAGGCGCTTGTTGTTCGTCGACGGGTGTGCCTGACCTGGACCCGGGTTCGTTCAGAGGGTAGGCGGTAGAGCTGCGCGCCGTCAGCTACATTAGCAGGCCAGACCAGTCCGAAGAGAGGGGAGGGGACCAAGGAGATTGATTGCCAACCTACCTAAGGTACCTTACGGTAATGGGTGGTGTGCGCTAGAATGTGAAGCTCCGAGTGTGTAGTGTGGGTGAAGGACGGAGCCCACTCTGGCACTCACTGCTATGAAGAGGGTGCATTGCAAGCAATTTCACCCAACCCATCCAAGCGCATACGGAGTGGGAGGTGGTGGATCAGGTAGCCCCCCAGCCAAGAACAGAGAGAGAATGGAAGGGAAAGGGGACGAAAAGACAAGGTCAAGGCACCTTACCTTAGGTAATGTACATCTTTGCTTAGGTAAGGTGAGGTACATGCCGAGGCCCTCTGAAACCCCCTATTTGCATGTACCGCCCCGAAAGAATCTGCCCTACTCCCCTAGCGTGCTATATAGTAACTCCATACCTTAGCTCCCAGGGCGAACATATGGGGCCCGGGCTCCCGTCCTGACTTTTCTTTGCCGGGCTCGCTCGTTTTTTTTATTACTAGGTACCTTTACCTTAGTGTCCAACACCTCACCAAGGTAAAGAAAGTGGGAAGCCGGGCAGTCAGTCCAAAAGATGAGATAGGTACCAGTGACAAGCATCTTCTTTGCTTCTGCCCTTTTCTCGGTGATGACCTACATGCCTACCTCATACATGCATGTCCATGTACCTACATCGTCTGTCCCGGGTCATGTACAAGCCTACATGCCTTTCTTGCACTGGAGGCGCTATGTACATGCCATTGCACACTCCCACATCTAACACAACACACACACACACACACACATACACACACACACACCTCCAACTCCCACTCCCACTCTCACTCCCACTTGCAGCACCAACTTCCAGCAGTACGTACCTTTCCACCATAATGCCTAGTGCCCGAGTATGCAAGTCAGTACCTTACCTAGGTAGGTACCGCACCCGTCGTATGTACTGGCCTGAAGTAGGTAGGTACTGTACCTCGCCCTCCCATACATGCTAATATTATTGTTTGGCTTTAACATGCTCCAGTCCTTCCTCTCTCTCTCTCTCTCTCTCCTTTTTTTTTTCCATCCCTTCCCCGGCCGCATGCTGCACTGACCTGACCTGACCTTGTCTGGGGCCTGACCTGACCTGACCGTACCTACCTACCTACTTACCGACCGTATTTCTCTTGCCTCTCCCGTCCCCTTACTAGACTGTGAAATCTCCCACTCTTCCTTTCCTTCCTTCTCTCCGTTTGCAATTTCCTTCCCAATTTGTAATTAACTCGTTGGCTGGCTTGCTTCTTGCACTCTTTTACTCGAGTCCAACCTTCTCTCGCTGCCTCCTCGCAATCTCCCGAACATACATCTCCTCGACATCCAGAAAGGCTTCTTCTCCCCCCTTTCCCTCCGGCCTCGACAACTTCCTCGCTTTCCCTCCAATAGACTTTCACCTTTTGCCCAGCTCACCAACCGGCAACGGATACAACCACAGTCGGCCAACCATATCAACCACCGATCTTTCACCCTACGATACACACATACGTTCCTGTACTACGCCCAACCGCACCCCCGGGCTCGAAAACCGTTTCTCTCATCTCAACCGCTCAGGAGCATTTCGCAGCCAACGACGGACTCCTGCTTGTGACTTGGGTCGACGCTTGTTTGCTTCTCAGCCGTGTGCGCCTCTTCAGCACCCACCCTTAACTATCGGACTTGTCGTGGTCCAGCCGCTCCTTCTTGCAGCGCCTGCTTAAAGCAAACATCCCTCGAGACTTTGGCGCTCGCCTCGAATCACGAATCTCTCCAATCGCCGTTGCATTCCCCGCCACGCTCACTACCATTCCTGTAAGTTGCCTTGAGCCTACTTGGCCTACCCGCCGCCCGCGGCTGCAAACTGCCAGCATATACTTGCTGTATTACACAAAGCTACGGCAACTAGCACCTGCATTTGCCCGTGTGTCGCTCACGAGACCTCCTTCGTCTCACAAATCCACCCATGCTTGTTTGCGACCACCCACCTAGATATACTCCTGCTAACTTGCTCCCTCGCGGTACACTAGCCACGCCAGAACTTGTTCCTCCTCTCTTCCGGCCTTATAGCTTCCTGATTCCTTGTCTCAGTACCCAAACCTGAGTGTGTAACCTGCGACTTCTGGAATCGGTTTCTGACACAGTCCTTTCTGAAACCACTGGCCGGCTCGACTCGCGAGAGCTAGCACGCCACAATTCACTCTACTATACGATAATTCGACACGATGGCAGGCGAACAGGGAGCCGGTGGCGGCATAGAGAGTAACCGTCGCCAACTTTCGACTTCCACCAGAGCCAGCGGCGACAACGAGCCCATTCAAGAAACCGAACCGCAAACCGGCAAGCAGACTCAACAAGAAGAAGCCAAGACTCAGTTTCAACAGCCCTCGCAAGACTCGCCCAGGGGCTTTAACCCGCCCTCGAGTACTTCCACCCCCTCCACAGCACCTCTCATGGCCAGAGCTTCATCCAACAGTTCTACGGTATCAACTCCAAGCGCCCCGACAGACAGTTACTTTGCTCCCGTGCCCGAGCCCAAGGCGCCCGCCCCGCGGCCTTCTCGCCCACTCGAGCCACCGGTCACCAAGGGCACGTTGAGCGAGCTGGACGTGTGCAAAATCATGCATAACCCCAAGCTGCGCCACGACATCAACTTCGACCCTGAACTGCACTTCCGACCTAATCTTGACGGAGACAAGGGCAAGAGGAAACAACACAAGGCCGACCTCTTCTGGAACACGCTACAGGAGCAATTGGTTGAATTCATGAGCCAACCCGAGGCATTCTACGCTTCCCATGGCCAGGGCGACGACTGGTGCCTGCCGTCACTTCTCAGAGCCGTCAAGGATATTATTCAGACTTTGGTACCGCAGAGGGACAGGGTTTATCTCGATGAAGGACTGAACGTCGATTTGTTGATGCAGCAATTTTACAGGGGCATCGCGGACTTGGAAAAGCTGGCGCAATGGCTGTCTCGCGTCCTCAAATCACATTGCGCTCCGATGCGCGACGAATGGGTTGATCAGATGTACAGCCAGTTGAGCAGTGGAAACAGGACGAACAACGTTGAGGAACTGGTCAAGGGCATGAAGAGCCTGCTCAGCGTGTTGGAGGCCATGAAGTTGGACGTCGCGAACCACCAGATCCGCTGTTTACGTCCCATTCTCATCGAGGGCACCATTCCGTTCGAGAGGAAGTTTTTCGAGAAGAAGATCCAAGGGAACAAGTTGGACGTTACGCAAGCGAACGCGTGGTACAGGGACGCCGAGGACCGATACTCGACATCCATCTCACCAATTGCTGCTCACTCGTTTGGCGAGATGTCTGTGTTTTTCGAGTCCATCTCGAGGCTAGTTTTGCCTTCGGTCTCGGAAAAGGCCTTGCCCAACACCTTCATTTTTGATGAAGAGCGCTTCATCAAGCTTCGGGCTGATATGCTAGACGCGATCAACTTGGAGGTGTGTATGCGAATGTACGACGATCTGGAGCGCGTGGGCCGGATTCCCCTTTTCGCCAACTCGATGTCCCGATTCGAAGACGAAACCGGCGGCCGTCCCCTGTCGATGACACCTGACTTCAACTTCAACACGCCTCCCTCCAGACCGTCCAGTCTGGCATTCAGCTCGGGGGGTTCCGCCACTTCGTCTCCTCGATCCTCTCTCGTCCTCCCGTCTCAACCGACATCCGACCCCACTGAGTCCATCGCCAAGGCCAAGGAACTGTACAACTCTCTTGTTGCCCTCCTTCACACCTCGCCCCCACCACGCAGGCACGAGTCTCGCTGGGAGGCCATCGCGCCTTCCTTGGCCCTTCAGATCTTCCGCTACACCAACGCCCCATCCGATATGCTGCCTGTTTTAGAGTCCAAGCTTGCCTCGCATGTTTGCGATGTTAACAGCCCGCTTTTCCAGGAGGTCGAGCAGCAATTCCACGGCAAGCTTCTCACGGAACTCCAATGTCGGGTCAGAGAGTACCGCGGCCTGACTGGTGTCGGCCTTTTCTCAGTTGCTACTGGCGGCCGTGTCCAAGGGTCAGGGAGGTCATGGAGTCCGGAGCGCGAAAGGGAGCTCTCAGACAACTCCCGCGAGGCTCGTGAAGATGGCGGCATCGAAGACATGGCGACGCGATTGGCACATCTCGGCATCCTTCACTGGAGAGTATTCGCCGGCTTGGCTTACACCTCTGAAGATCAGGCCGACAGCATCATGGAGATGAACCAGTTTTAAGAGTGTCACCTCCGGAGCACCACTGGGATTTGGAGCAAAATCGCATTTAATCAACAGCTGCTGGTCAAGGAGCCAGCAGTTACACCATCTACTTTGTCTGGTCGAACAACAATACCCCTTTTACAGTATTTAATCTTGCATTTAGCCGCTTTTTCTCGCAAGACTTCATTCATCTTTTGGCTATGGGTGTTTACGGAACCTTAGACGGTGTTGGGGAATCATAGCATCTCAAGCTCGCGCTATCGCGGCGGTTATTTGGACAGGCGTCTCCTGGCGGTGGTTATATGCAGATACATAGCGCCCTTTTTGCATTGCTTCGAGACAGGAAAATGAGAGTTTCTTGACATTTGACATCTTCTTTTTTACGTGAGTGACGTGCACACGCGCCCGGGGAGAGCTTGATTGTATTTATATATTGTAGCACCTTTAACCAAAAGAGCTACACATAAACTACTTAGAGCAACACATAAACTACTTGGATTGGTCGCGACCTGAAAAGCTTGGAGACATCACAAGGGGGTATAGCCGCAGCATGGCAAGTTGTGGACGAGGCGGCATAACGTTGTCGTAACCACACTAATCTGAGTCACACATAATCGACCCATGTACGTAACTGGGACCTCTTCCCTTCTCCCTCATCTAGTTTGTTCCAGACTGTTTATTTCTTCCAATTCATCGTCTCATGGAAGATGTCGATAGTGAGCTGGACATGTACGCCGACGGCTGGGTGTCAGTTGACTGCCCTCCTTCCACGTGTAGCCTTGCGCGGGCCCCTTTGCTCTCCGGCAGGCCCGTCAATGGTGTGTATCCACGACTGAAGGTCTCAGATGTATGACATGGAAGTCTCGCATTATGGAACTACGGTATTCTGGAGTTTGGCCATACTCGGGACCGGAAGCCCCCGTGTATTCGACAAACATGTCGTCCATGTTCCTAGAAGCCTGTCAAACGAGGCTCTAGAAGCAATCACTCATAGGCCCGCTGTACTCTCCGGCCGCTCACATGGGCGGGGGACAAAGCATATCGAGGTGTGTTCAGGTGCCCGCGTGGATGCTGGTGGTTCATCTTTTTGTCCTACTTTGACCGCTCTTTGAAGACTTGTAGCGCCTTGATGGCTGTCGGTTCTTGATGGGGTCTCGTCTTTCCACTTGAACACGAACGTTTTCAGGTCAAGAAGTCCGTTTTCTTCTTCATAATCAAGCCCACAACTTTTCTCCACCAGGACAGGCACCTGGGACTGAAAAGAGGAGAGTTGGGTGTTGAGAACGTTGTCGAAGGCATCTCGGTGTATCAACGCCGTAAAATAATAAATGGCCTCTGAATATATTGTCAGGTTCATTTGCAGGTTTAATCTCTCATAACGATATCACATACAAACAGTCTCAGTGACGACGGTTCGGTATGGTTGCCGCAAAAGTCATAGAAATGGCGGTTGCCTCGGGGACACATCAGAGTAACTTTTGTCGTGGTCTCTCGTTCGTACGATGTTCTTAATCTGGAGTCCTCAGCAGCCACAAGCCCCTACGATTACTCTCATGTACATAACACCTGGCCTGGCCATCACCGACGTGTCTGGCATCGTCTATTGCCGTCGATGCTATTGCCACTGATGCTACAAACGTGCTGTCAGGAAAATTCCGAAAACCAAGATTAATTTCCTTGAATCCACCACAGTTGGCAAGCCAACCCTGACGAGGACGTGTCAATTCAGAGGCGAACTCAGGAACATCGATAAATCAGGCAGCAGAGACACACTGAGCGCTTTTTCCCCATGAGAAACCTCGAAATGATGGTGCCGATGTGTATTGTGGTGTTTTGTGTCACAACGCGAATGGGGTCTCAAACGAGGTGATGCCCGGCAAAAGCAAAGAAGACAAGGAAATGGAAAAGTAAAGAAAGGGGCCCAAGCAATGGAATCAGGCAGGTGAACATGCCGGCGGCAACAGTTTCATGGTGACTGGCTCATAAACCATGCATTCAGAGTCAAACAGGACCAACAGTAGACTGTTGATATGTTTTGTTCTACATCCGTCTCAAGCGCCATGTTGGTTTCTTCTCCGTAATGGTGCAGCACTGGGATGCTGTCTAGCTACCGGCCCATCTCTTGACCTGGGCGAGTGGTGGTCGAGAACAAGAAGTACGCAAAACTCCTTGCCCCCTTTGATCGAGGGTATCTGGCGTGCCGGTGAAACGGACGATTTACCAGGCGAGCAAAGCCCTGGGTCGAAACAGTGAAGTCCCTGGTCGAGGGCTGAACAGATCCAGAATAGTGCTTTGAGACGCGTTGTTGACTCGTGCCTGTGAATCAATGCTGGTGGTAACATAACATAAACTCTTGAATTATCTTTGAGACTGCCGGACTTGAGGCAGAGCGTTCTTTATACTCCTGCGATCGTGACACGGGCAAAATCCGCCCAAAAGTATTGTTCTTCTTGACGGCCTGAGATTTCTCCCTTCTAACAAAGCCGTAGCCGTATTCATTTCCTTAACCCAACTCCGAAACCATGGAACAAGTCTTTCGTTTTCTCGCCTCCGACGAGGGGAATCGTGCGCCAGTGTAAACATGACATACTCAGTTGATGAGCATGGAGACCTGGTCATGGCTGGTTAGTAGGGTACTCGGGAAGGAAAGGAAAGGGGGCCACTTGCCGCCATGACGACGCAGCATAAGCTGATGTATGGACTTAACCGTTCGCCTACCCTAGCGAATTTCCAAAATATGCCCATTACACTACAGCGCGGTTAGCGATTGTGCGATTCGGCAGGTATATTCGCTCGGAGAATCATCCTTACCCGTCCTTGTTGCGGTCCATGAAGGCGGGCAAGAGTTGGTGGACGTATGCGCATGTGCAGACGAGGAGGAGGATGACGAGAAGGAGGGACTGAAAGTTGAAGAGGGCGGTCTGTAGATTCGTTAGCTTATGCCCGCCTCTGGGTTTGGGGTTTACCGCGACTGACCATGATTGCGACTGGTATCCCTCTGCGCAGGGAGCTTGCGACGTGGTTGACCTGGTGCAAATGGGCAAGCTAGCTGGAAGGTCGCGATGCGATGGCCCAGGGGTAAGGTACGATTCCGTCACAGTGGACAAGGTGGCCCGGAGAATTAAGGTGACGAGCCACACGTGGCTCAAGCTCTCTATTGGGCACGTTCTCCAATGATGGACGCCACCCCCACACATGGAAAGTGGAACCTGGAAACTGAGGTGGAAGCTGCCCCGTGCGTCGCGCAGACTGTCACCGTGATTTCTTCAGCTCGCCAGTTCGAACTTCCGACCGCACTACCGTTCGATTCGCGCGCAAATCACAGTCATCCGCTCCATCTATCCCTATATCGCCGACGCGTGCGACTCTACCTCAAGTCGAAACAAGTACACCAACATCAATCACGTACCGACTACTCACGACAGCCCATCATGGAGCCTCGCGCCCGCGCCGCCAAAAATGTTGGCAAGATGAACTTCAGCCACAACGAGCGTACGTGCCTTCCGCCTTAGATTTGGGCTCAAGAGCAGAGCAATAAAACTGAACTGATTTCTTCTCATGCAGTGGCCCAGCTCCTTTACGCCCACGGCGATGTGCGCAATCCGCTCCCCGAAACGATCCGCGTCCTCGACGAAATCGTCACCGAGTTCATCCAAGGCATGGCCTTCGAGGCCACCCGGGCAGCAAACTATGCGGGTCGTCAAAAAGTTAAATATGAAGACTTCGAGTTCGCCTTCCGCAAGAATGACGCCTTCCTCGGCAAGGTGCAAGAAGTCTTCGAGAAAAAGGGCGAGATTGATTCAGCCAAGAAGATCTTCACCAAGGACGACGAGGCTGTACTTATGAAAGACGCCGTGGATCAGGAGGGGAAGTCGAAGGACAAGGCCGTCAACGGACACACGGAGGCTAGTGGCCCTTCTGCCGATGCTTCCGCTGCGAAGCAGGAGGAAGAACTGGGCGAGGCGGATGATGATGCTGATGCAGAGAGCGAGGTTGCGGGACGGCCGGCGAAGAGGGTCCGGCTTGATGGAGACGCGAAGTGAGTCTGGCGTCTTGTTCCGGCAAGGCTGCGCGCACGAGGGGCGACGACATTTCTACACATTGAGACTATGCATAGCGATTGGCGTTTTGTTTTTTGGATGGACGAGCCCGGTATCCGGCTCAGGAAGAATATACCTTCGGTCGGATGGGACCAAAAGGGACGGAGAAAAATGCGGAAAACGTCTATCAATCCGACACTGATACTTGGTTATGGTAACGGCGCATGGGCTAGCTAGACGGCTGGAAAGGTACAGACTAATACCACTAATGCACACACTCGCAGTCTCTCACAGCAGACAGGGTCTCGGCGTCAGTAACCTAGGCCTCGGAGGCTGACCGAGATTCCTAGAGTTCATGGATCGTGTGACCAGGAAACGACATGATGCCGGTGAAACTTTTTCTCGAAAGGCTGGAGCGAGATCTGGCTCCCACTTTCGACCGGGATCACGATCTTCAACGAGGGATAAAGTGGCCGACCCCGCCGACCTTAATTCGACATGCCACAGCCGTCATTCAAGCGCCTCGTCCAACGCGAGGTGAGTTCGATGTCAGATGCTACAAAGATTTAAGGTTGAGCCGCTTACAAGCAACCCTGCCCTGCCATGCATTTGGTTCGCTGCAATCGCAAGGGCAAAGCGACGCGGGATTCTGCCCGAACCAAAAGACTACCCGAATCGGTGCCGGAACCGCCGCTGTCGGGACTTTGTAGAGGCGTTCGGGCGGGACCTCGCCGAGAAAGCGGACTGCACCCCCGGCACACGACAGCCGGCCACCAGGAAGCCCAGGCCCTTCATTTTGCCTTCCTTCTCGGGAAGCTGGGGTGGCATGCCGTGGATATCTGGCGATATCGGGGGGAGGCGAGACCAAACGACAGGTGATCATGCAGGGTGCCTCTGTCGCATCCCACCGTTTCTGTTTCTCGTCTCGGCGGGTGCCAGCGAAACAAAAGACTGCCCCGGGTCTTCCTGCTGCAGACTTAGTCTGTTTTAGGCGTCTTGGGCAGCCTCAAAGGGGCCGGTGGCCGGTAAGCCTGGAGGGGGACCTTGGTGTTGTTGGTTGGTCCATCACCCGCGTGGGCGAAAAAAAATCAGTTAGCATGTCTCCGAGTGGTTGATTGATGACCATTCGAAAATGTCCACTCCACCCTGCTACTGCCGCTCTTTTCCCTTACTCAACCCATCCACGCAGAATCCGCGCGTCTGCATTCGCTACCTCGCACACTGGCGACTATTGCCAACCATTCTCACCCGCACCACCATTGCCCTGCCCAGACCAGGTGGTCCACCACACTACCTGGTAGAAAGCTGAACAGCAGCAGGAGGAACAAGGGTGTGGCACGCCGCACGCGATCGGCCACACATATGTCGACCTGGTCTTCCGACCCTTTGCACTTTTGGGAGGAACGGTCCCGAGTGACTGACTGGATGAATGGAAGTGACAGACAGACCCCATCCATTATTACTCCAGCCTCCCCACTTCCGATGAACGATGGAGAACTCTCTCTTTGATTCTTCAACACTTGCACCACACCCCGCTTCTGACGGTGGATGAAATCTCTTTTCTATCTTTCTGTGTGAAGAAGTCATTCTGTTTTCAGAAACGGGCCGTACAGAATCGGCTATTCTTCGTCGATCTCTTCATTAGCGTCATCCCCAGAGCCTCCCCCACGTCACTGAGGACCTCTGTGTACTTTACTCAGCCTGCTCTAGGCATGACTTTATGTAGCTGTCATGTCCGGGCCGAAGCAACATAATGAGAACCACTCTACCCCCCAGAGCGTCGGGACGAAGAAAAGATTCGAAGACGACACGGAAATCGTTGATGAGACTGGCCACAGAATGTCGGTAGACAGCAAGATGTCATGGTCCAATGACCAAGGAAAGGGCCTCGACCTACCAGACCCGGACTCGTTTCGAACATTTTCAGCCAGCCCTTTTCAGAACGAGAGAGCATCACCATTCCTGGGAGCACCAACCCACCCGACGACATCAGAGCCATGGGAGAAGCGGGGAAGACTATGGCGATTCTGGATCACCAACAAAGGTGTCGTCCTCGTAGCGCTCTCGCAGTTGTTTGGCGCTCTCATGAACTTGACGGCACGACTTCTTGAGTTGGAAGGAGACGGAATGCATCCCCTTCAGGTCTTGTTCGCCCGGCAGTCAGTCACCATGGTCTGCTGCTGTGTCTACATGTACTGGATGAAGACACCAGACTTCCCGTTCGGGAAGAAGGAGGTCAGATGGCTTCTCATCGCAAGAGGAGTAAGCGGCTTCTTTGGCATCTTCGGCATGTGGTACTCGATGATGTATCTCCCCCTTGCTGAGGCAACCGTCATCACGTTCTTGGCTCCCAGTGTCGCCGGCTACGTCTGCTACCTCGCTCTCCGCGAGCCCTTCACTCGGGCCGAGCAGATAGGCACAGTCATAGCCTTCTTTGGAGTCGTCCTCATCGCACACCCTACCTCTCTCTTCACAGGCGACTCGACTTCGTCTGCCGCCGCCACCGCTCCAGAATACGACAACGCAACGAACGGTACAGTCTCCTCGAAGCTGCCCGGACTTAATCACCAAGCTACGACTGCGGAACGTCTCACGGCTATCGGCGTTGCGATAGTAGGCGTGTTTGGTGCTGCCGGTGCTTTCACGACGATTAGGTGGATCGGCAAGCGCGCGCACCCACTCATCTCCGTTAACTACTTCGCGACATGGTGCACAATCGTGTGCGCCGTCGTCCTCACAATAGCACCCATGTTCGAATTCGAGCAGCCGGCTTTACGATTTGCGTTGCCGGGAACAGGACGGCAGTGGCTGTTCATGGTTCTCCTCGGCGCGTTCGGTTTCATCATGCAGTTCCTCCTCACCGCGGGACTGGGGACGGACAGATCAAACAGGGCCAACGCCATGGTCTATACCCACATGCTCTTCGCCGCCGGGTTCGACAGATTCATATTTGGCAACGTCATGGGATGGGTGAGTCTGGCGGGCTGCGGCCTGATCATCGGCAGCGCCCTCTGGGTCGTTCTTACGAAGAGGCCGCCGCCGCCGAAGAGGGAGACTGTGGCGGACGTCGAAGTTGCCAATGTGAGAGACACCGAGGCTGTGCCCATGTTGGCGGATATAGACGGTGGAAGGGACGAGGACTTGGAGCTGCGGGGGCTTCGGTCATAATACCCTGCCATGTGCGATGGGTCTTTGGATGACAAAATTATGGGAATCGGGTACTGGGACTTGGGTATCTAGATATAGACGGCGCATCTTTCCGGCAGAGAGTCGCTTGACCTGGGATTGGAATACCTGGAGCACCTGTACGTCTAACGGGGTTGGATACCTTCGAAATTGAATGAACTCATGAGACTTTGCCGGGGTAACAGTGCTGCGAGGGTCATCTCATTATATATCCTCAATTGCCTAGCCATGGGATTCAGTTTCTCTTACTATTGGGAAAGTGTAGCGCTGTGATGGTGAAGTACTGGCATGTCTTCGGCGCTCTCACCCTCACGATTAAATCACTGGTAATGCACCCGATTATCAATGAGCTCGGTGTGTCCAACTCCAAGCCTACGAGTCGCATGTTATACCTCAGGGAAGACACGTGAACATTCATGAAGCTGGTCTGCTTGTGAATTATATGAATGACTTTATCGAACTCGCCATCGATCAAACCTTGTTCGAGTTTCACCTGTCTTGACCATAGCCTACGATTCTCCATGCCGCTCCTCTCAACTGCCATCTAATCGATACGTAATCGCTGTGAAACTTTTAGAGTCATCTTTTTGACAGGTCAAGACGTTCATACACGCCTTGGATTTCGGAATAGTTGTCTCTACAATGACGTCATAAGATTTGTATACAGCTAAACCATAGTCAACGCATCCAAATGTCATCCCTTAAATCTTGACAAGTTGTTGAGCTATAGTAACGGGTGGTCCCAACATCTCCATCGCCTGCTTAACGTCTTCACGCTTACGAAATCCAACGTCATCGACCATCATGTTAGATGATGAACATTTTAAGGCGACACAAAACGTGTTCCCGATCGCGTAATAGGGGTCCCGTCCGAGGTGCGACCCTTGGAATTCCAGGCGCGCGGCGTTTACAATGTCAGGCGGGTTAAAGGATGATACGGTGAGACAAAATTTCGACATTCCCGAACGCGGAAGGAGAATCCGCAAGGAAATTGAGTTGAGTCATGCTACCCACCTGCCTGTCCGTTTGACGACCGTAGTGGTTCGATCTTTCTTGGGTGAAAGAATGAGGGATAGCGAGTGACATGCCATTCCACGATGGTGCCCTCTGATGAACAAACCTACTGATGCATGGAAGGGGAGCCATGGGTTGAGAAAAGCTAGACGGGGTAGAAAATCGGAAGGCAGTTGGTGTTGTTATTCTCAACGGCTCGTCTGGCAATGAACCTAGCTCCATGAGAGAGTGGCGGTCTTTCCGGTGGTTCGGGGCCGGATCATTAAGTTCACACAAAATCAAGCAAGCATGGGACATAGGCGAGAAGAAATCCTCATGGAGGTTTTCAAAGTTAGTCGCTTGTGTGGAGATAAGTGTGAAGGTGAAAGCCAAACTCGATGGAGGTGCAAACGGGAAGCTATCCCCAGGTCACGTGTGGGGCGCCTGAGTTCCCAAGTTGCCGGTTGGCGCCTGCACGGTGCGTGCGCCGTGCAGTTTTGCAGGGATAGAGCGAGGCGCGTCGTCCAAAATCTTTTGGAAGCTTCAACCAAGCCCGTCGTCTAACACCAACCACCTATCATCCACCACAGCGAAATAATTGCGACAACGAAGTAATCGCCGAACATTTCGACATCTCATTTGCGAACGATACAATTCATACCCTAGGAATTGACCTCAGGCAACCGACGCCCCCGCCGCGACGATGGTCCAAATTAGCGAGGTCAAGGGAAACAGTCGCGAGAATCGCACTGCTGCCCACACCCACATCAAAGGCCTGGGACTGAAGCAAGATGGCACGGCGGAGAAGCAGGCCTCAGGTTTCGTCGGCCAGACGACAGCACGAGAGGTTGGTCGCATCCATCGCGATGGAGTCGAGCAAGTTTGCTGATGTTTCTGCGATTTCTAGGCATGTGGTGTTGTAGTCGACCTCATCCGCGCACACAAGATGGCCGGTCGCGGTGTTCTGCTCGCCGGTGGACCGGGCACGGGAAAGACGGCACTCGCGCTCGCCATCAGCCAAGAGCTCGGAACCAAGATCCCCTTCTGCCCGATTGTTGGCAGCGAAATCTACTCGACAGAAGTGAAGAAGACCGAGGTGTTGATGGAGAACTTCCGCCGCGCGATCGGCTTGAAGGTCCGGGAAACGAAGGAGGTGTACGAAGGCGAGGTCACAGAGCTCACACCTGAGGAGGCCGAGAACCCTCTGGGCGGATACGGCAAGACCATCAGCACACTCCTGATTGGCCTGAAGAGCGCAAAGGGCCAGAAGAAGCTGCGGTTGGACCCGAGCATATACGAGGCCATTCAGAAGGAGAGAGTATCGGTGGGAGATGTCATCTACATCGAGGCCAACACCGGCGCTTGCAAACGTGTAGGAAGATCAGACGCCTACGCAACCGAGTTCGACCTTGAGGCCGAGGAGTACGTGCCCATCCCGAAGGGTGAGGTGCACAAGAAGAAGGAGATCGTGCAGGATGTGACTCTGCACGACCTCGATGTTGCCAACGCCCGTCCTCAAGGCGGCCAGGACATTATGAGCATGATGGGCCAGCTGATGAAGCCCAAGATGACTGAGATCACGGACAAGCTGCGCGGAGAGATCAACAAGGTGGTGAGCAAGTACATCGACCAGGGCGTCGCAGAGCTCGTACCCGGTGTTCTCTTCATCGATGAGGTAAGCAAAGCTTCCATGCCCTGTCTGACGCGAACTGAGACCGGTGGATTAATCTTCAACAACAGGCTCACATGCTTGATGTCGAGTGTTTCACGTACCTGAACCGGGCCCTGGAATCGAACATCTCCCCGATTGTCGTGCTGGCATCGAACAGAGGAATGACCACGGTTCGCGGCACGGATGACATTGTCGCGGCGCACGGCATTCCTACCGACTTCTTGACCCGCCTGCTCATCGTTCCCACGACGCCGTACCAGCTGGACGAAATCAAGCGTATCGTCCGTATCAGGGCCACCACCGAGGGTGTGCCTATCACCGATGACGCCCTGGACAAGATCGCGGAACATGGCGTCCGCATCAGCTTGCGGTACTGCCTGCAACTGCTGACACCCGCCAGGTAAGTAAAAGAAGTGCCCGATCTTATTGCCTGTTATTGCCCACCGCTTTCCGTTACTCATCCCCGTGCGGATATTCCCCTCTCTTGGATCGTTGATCGACCGGCTAGTGTGAGACATGTGGGCTAACCCCAATGAAAGCATTCTGTCCAAGGCAAACGGCCGCAGCCAAATCGATGTCCAGGACGTGGCTGAGTGCGAGGAACTCTTCCTGGACTCACGGCGCAGCGCCAGCCTTCTGAGCAGTGAAAACGGACGAGGTTACATCTCGTGAGAAAGCTTGGGAGGGGTTATGGGTAGATGAGATGGGGGGGGGAGAGAGAGATAGAGAGAGATATGTCACGGTCCCCCATCTTATCTCGAGGAATTAGGATGGCGGCGGCGTTGTAAAAAGAACTTGTCACATTATCGAATACCAAAACAGGTAATCCACGGCATTCCGTCCCGTGATGGTATCGTGAGGACATTGTGTGTGCGTTTCTCCTTCAGAAGGGGACCAGTCAGGTGTCTCGGACTGGTCTGCGAGAGTCAACGGAAGGTGATGATCAATTTGGTTGACAAACGCGCATCGACCTGAGAACCTAGATCAAGAGAAGCACCGTGAACTCTTCCTCGATCTCCGACTTGGCTGAGGGTACCGAGAGCCGACAGAGGGCGACTCTGTTTGCAAAACAAAACCCCAGATGAGGAAAAAAGTAGGGCTGCCCTCCCGAGAGCCATAAGACATTGCAGGCCGCGAACCAGAAAACGAAGGAAAAACACAACTAATGAGAGACATCCACGCACCGACCAATGCTGTCCCGTGCTGACTTTACCTCACTCAACGACAGAGAGAGAATGGACTAATACCCTTCACCGCGTCTTCAGTTTCCCGTTCTGAACCCCGGTCCCCACCCCATCCCATGCTTTGGCGCCCATCATCAGAGACATCACCAACGCCAAACGCATTGTGTCCTTGCCGATCAAATTTTAAAACATTTCAAGAAGACAAGAAGAAGCCACACAAAAATGAGAAGGGGAAGGGGGGATGGGAATTCTCAGGGCTCTTCGCCTATTTCCCTTTCATCACGTGGGAGTCGCTGTTCGTCCAAGTCTAGACCAATTTCGGCCGGGGGTGGTTGTGTTGGTTCGACGGACATCCCATTGTCTTTGTTCCTTGGATGGGAGGGCGGGAAAAGCGCTCTTTTGATTGAACATTCCAACCGACCTTTTTGCATTCATTCCCTTTCATTCACTCATTATTCTTTCCCCTTGCACTGTTCTCTTCCTGGCCCTGGCACTCCACACCCATCGCACCTTGGCAAGCAAGGTCGTTCATTGTTTTCGATGTCCCACAGCGCGATGAGTCTGCAGTTGGGCATGCATGTTTTCCTTTGAAGAGAGGCTGGCTGAGAGCATGTGGGCATTGGCGCAAGGAGAGGAAAAGGTAGGGGGAAGAGGGAGGAGAGAGTGCCGCGGTGGCCGCGGCACTCTGTCGCAGCACATTAGTAGGAGTAGTAGCATTTGCAGCAGCACGAGGAGGAGCAACACATGTGGGAATCTGCTTGTATCTATCTTAGAGAAAGAGTGAGAGAGAGAGAGATGGAGAGGAAGAGGATGTGTCTGGGGTGTGGCCAAAGCTTGTCTGAATTTCCGACGGGCTGATATGAAAGGAGGGAATTCCTAAAATAACATCGAGAATAAGGCTGCTTTGAGTAACACATATCCCTCGTCTCTCTCGAGGAGAACAATTTCTTCCTTCGCTGCCCTTTATTCAGAAAAGAAGAATTGCGAGGGAAGCGGCAAAGAATTCTTCATCTCGTGACAACGCGCGGTGTGTCGTTTTGGTCACCCAACATCCATTATTCATTCGTCTTTCATTGCCTCGTCATCGTCACCGCCGCATCGTCCCCCACTTGCAACTTCGGACTTGGACCCGAACGAAACCTGCCATTCCGTGTCCCAGGGTCGCAGAACCAAAGGTTGGGAAAGCATTTACACGCATCTGCTTTCTTCAAATGCGAACGGAAACCGCGGTGGACTGAGTAAGAGAGGGGCTCCGGCCACAGGGCAAACGCTTCGTCACAAAGAGTTCTACCCTCATCTGCAACAGCTTGGGTGTCGGTGCATTCCCGAGACATTCCCCCAAAGCCACCCATCACTTTCCTCAATCGTTCGTTCATCCTCTCTCTGTTCTGTTTCTTCATTCTGTTCGTTCCGCTCTCCAGACCTCCTCCCTCCCTTCCTCCACTCATCTTCTCCGGGGCTGCTCCTTACCGCGACCTTCCCGTTGTTGGTTGTTGTTGCTGTTCGTCGTTGCCGCCGCCGCAACAACGTACCGCCCGGTCCTCACCCCCAATGTTCTTTCTCCCCCATAATGGCAACCTCCATCTTTGAACATAAGGTCATTGAGCTGGACAGTCATTGTCTGCCCAGTGTCTGCTGAATGGGTGGCCGTCCTCTCGAAAACACAAAGAAGAAGAACAGAACGAAGCGGGCAATCTTCCCGACGAGGGGACAGAGAGACATTCTCGACCGTCTTGTCTCCATCCAGTTTCCCGATAAACATCTTCATCTGTCTCTTCCACATTTTCCCAAATACTTTCTGTCTTTGCCGTTCGTCCAAGTTTCCGCCGACTGTCTGTCCCGCCATCTCTTCCAAACCAGAACCCGGCATCCCGTAGTGTCTCTCACCGTATACAACATACACGCCCCCCTCCTCCCGTCGTTGTTGTCCTTCTCCAAACGCCCCGTCCCGAAGCATGGTGTAAGTCCAAACGTCGCATACCTAGACCGACCTACCGCCCGGCCGCCGCTCCCCACCTGTCACCTTTTCACCGACACCCGTTTGCACCCTCCTCACACCTTTCCAACCCTCAAGATGACAGATGTGGTTTCTACTCCCAGACCACGGCGGTCAATCTCTTCCTCCGGGGGCAACTCTGCCCACTCGGCCATGGAGCGAAGAGCAAGCCAGGAACTAGACGAAGGACCAGACTCCGTGGGCTCTGCTGGCAGTCGAACAAGCAGGAAACGCGCTGCCTCTATCGACGTGGACGAGGCCAACAACAGCTCGAGGGCGAGAGAATTCAGCCTGGAAACCGGACCGATGGGCAGCGAAGGCAGCAAGGACTACATCTGTCTCTGCACGCCCGCTCTCAAGGTTCCAAGACCTCGCAACGGTGAGTGCTATTCTCATGTCCTTTGCTTATCTCAAGATATTCCGACACTCTTCGTCGCAGACACTCTGAGACGAGGGACTCGGCAATCTGTCTTTGTTGAATGATTCAAACCGGCAGCTGGACACTTGTGCAACTCCCGTTCGCTGACGCTGCTTCTCCTTCATAGCATTCATCCTGTACAGACAACACCACCAGGCACAGGTCATCTCCCAACACCCCGGACTCTCCAATCCCGAGATTTCCAAGATCATTGGAGAGCAGTGGCGGGTACAGCCTGAGGATGTCAAGGAAAGTTGGAAGAAGCTTGCAGAAGAAGAGAAGATCCGACACCAACGACAATACCCAGACTACCGGTACCAGCCGAGGCGCGGTGGACGACCAGGAAGCCGGCCGGGCTCATCATCCGGAGGAGATACAGGAAGGTGCCCCAAGTGTGGAGGCAGGTTCATCGCAACGCCCAGAACGCCGTCGACACCGTTTGTCACACCGACTGCTGCGAAAACGAGCATGCCTCCTCACCACCAGAGAGATATGCGAAGCGTCGACAACGACCAGCTTCGGCATGCCCTGCCTGGCGGGAAACAGCCTTATCAATATCAACATGGCAACCTGCGAGACGTCGACGAGGAATACGAAGCCATGTCGCCGTCGCCCGAGCTCAAACGGCGCCGATTCAACGCCATGGGCCACTACCAGGCTGTGCCGTCCCCGGGCCCGTACACCGGGCATCCACTGTCAAGACAGCCCCGATCGTCTCTGAGTATGCCAGGAACGCCGCCTGTCGCGGGATACGGGCCGTTGCCTGGCCCATCCGCGCTTGCGAGGCCTGGCGGCCACGGACCTATGGCGCCTCCTCCTCGACCGCATCATTCGGGCTACTCAGGACCAAGCCGCGGCTCGGCCTTCGACGAAAGTCTTCGCTTGCCGCCCTTGCAAACACAAAACTCTCCCCCACTAGGCAGAGAGGGTGACATGAACGATCGCCCAAGCGCTCATCCATCCTCGGGCCATGGCATTGCCAACTCCCGTGACGCGTACGCCCAAAGCATCGAGGCCATGATTATGACGATACCATTCTTGAGTAAGCTGAAGGTCCTGCAAAAGATCAGCCCGACTTTGACTCCGCCTGGACCGGCCAGCCCGGACATCGACACCCGCGGCGCAGTCATCGCCATCGAAGGAGGTGATCCTCGACAGCTGGAACAGGTCGGAACGGCAATTCACAGGTCTCTTCTTGGCTTGAGCGAGATTGACCTGAAGATTTGGTGCGAGGCGCCGGCCAGCCCACTGTCAACCACATCAGCCGAGGAAGACACGAAGATGAACGACGGCGCGTCCATTGCCAGCAGCAGGAAGAGCAGCCATTCGCAGCCGACTCTCCACGCGTCGGAACTATTCTCCAGCTATATGCAGACCATGATGAAGTGGCACGAGAAGTCGCGGGAGATCGTCAAGCACATCACCACCAAACCGGTCTTCGGACCAGAAGAACAACCGCCGAACAGAAGGGCCTCGGAAGGAGAGCTTGTCGCATCGAGGCACGATTTGACATCAACTCCCAGCCTGGCCAAGACACCGATTGCTCTGCTTCCTGCGGGTTTCAGCTTGACCATATCAGACAAGTATGCTTGTATGATACCCATTTCTGATTCGTACGCCCCTGTCGACCACTGGCAGTGGATGTCGACCCTGTGGAGGGGCATCATCGGACCAGACCTCGTCATATATGTCAAGACTGCGGCGGAAGACGAGGTCGCTCGAGCAGGAGCCGTTGAATTCAAAGGCCCTGGTGTTATGGTGATCAGGATCGCGCATGGCAAATCGCTGGACGAGAAGACTGAGCGGCGCGTTTGTTTCGAAGTTGTCGAGTGGATCCGGGGAGCCAGCTTCCAGGAGGGATTCGGTCGAGTTTGACGAGGTGCGAAAAGCGGATTTAATGATTGATATCCTGAGATGGGAAGACGTATGGTGATTTGGGAAGATGTAGATGCAGCGGGTTGAGAATATTTCTTGTCTTATTTCTCGACATAGCGTAGGCGTAGATAGGAAAAATCATGAGCTCTCCTGGACCGAAAGCAGCCCGGCGTTCGCACTTGATTCAAGGTGACATTTCCAGCGCTGGGGAAAAGGCAAGCTTGATCGATCAAAATCGTGCTCAATATCGGCATCGTGAGCAAGGGCGCGGTTCGCGCTGAGCTTCCTCAGCATATGCACGAGGTAGACGCGCCAATGTGTGATTCAATGTCAGGGCGGGTGAGACAATGTCTCTGTTCGAATCTTTGAAGGCGTTTGCTGCTTTGCATTGACGTTAATTAATCCTGTCATCTGTTTATTCGCACTACATTATTCTTGGACTGTGCGTATTTATGCTATGCATAGCTTATGTGCTCATGTCACTCCTGTGGATCCTTGCCGTAACTGCTCCAAGCTCCAGATCCCAGCGCGTTCGTCCTATCGGACGCGCCCCCAGGTGACCCTCAAAGGGACGTCAACACAACGACGACACATCTCGACGAGCCTCAATTGGCCCGCGCCCAACACCGCATCCCATCCGAATATGGTTATCTCTTAATGCAGCACGATTACAGCAATGTCGGACTTAGTAGTTGGGCAGACAGTGCGTCTGTCAGATGGCCGGACGGGCGTCGTGCGCTTCGTCGGCAGTACCCACTTCGCCAGTGGTGACTGGGTCGGCATCGAGCTGGAGGACGACAGCGGCAAGAATGATGGCAGCGTTCAGGGCGAGCGATATTTCGACTGCGGCATGGGCCATGGCATGTTCGTGCGGCCCACGACGCTGGCCATCATCGCCCAGGCGCCCGCGACGGCGAAGCCCGCAGCTCGAAGGCCTAGTCGGCCGACCAGCTTCAATCCAGGCACCGGACGGTCTCAGACGGATTCCGGATTGACTAAGAGGATGAGCTTGAATGCCCCGAGCCCGAGCCCGGGACCTAAGGGGTCTCGACCGTCGTCGAGTATACTCAGAGTAAGTGTCCTCGTTGATGATATAGAGCAACACAACAGCGAGTAACACGGAATGCGCAGTCACCAACCAAATCACCAACAAAACAGCTCGGATCGGCCACATCGAGTACCGCACCATCAAGAACAACCACACCATCTAACGCACGCACATCAACCGTTGGGGCCAAAACGCGACCAAGTGTAGGAGCTTCCCGAACGTCCATGGGACCCCCACCGATACCCGCTACTCGAGCGCGACAGCCATCAACGTCTTCAGCCTCGACAAGGCCAACTTCAACTAGGCCGACAAGCGCAAGACTTTCAATGACCGGCAAAACAACCTCCGTCAGACGACCATCTGCAGATATGGGCGGAGGGAAGGCCTCGGAAACCGGGGACGATGCTACTTCGCCATCTAAGGACATCGGCTACAACAGCCCCGTGCAGGCGAGGACCAAAGCTCTTGAGAAGCTCACATCGGGGAACTCAGGCCCTTCCGGTACAACCACGAGATCAGCGACCACAACTACCGCCCGTTCCACGACAAATGCTGCCGCTGCCAACAAGGAAATCGAGGATCTTAAGGCCAAATTAAAGGTTCTCGAGCGAAAGAGACTAGAAGATAGAGAGAAGTTGAAGCAGTTGGAGCAAGTTCAAGGCGAGAGGGACAGATTCGAGTCCATCATTCAAAAACTACAGGCGAAGTACCAGCCGCAGCAGAACGAGAACAACGAGCTAAGGAAACAGCTAAAGGAGGCGGAGGCCAGATTTGAGTCGATCGAGACCATCCAGATGGAACACGAGACGGCTCTGGAGTTGGCGACTCTGGATCGAGAGATGGCCGAGGAGACGGCCGAGGTCCTCAAGGTTGAGCTCGAGGCTCTGAAGCAGAAGTCAGAAGAGCTAGAGCTCGAGGTGGAAATTCTTCGAGAGGAAAATGAGGAGTTCGGAAAGGGTATGACGACGGAAGAGCGATCAAGCAGCAGTTGGTTGCAGATGGAGCGGACAAACGAGCGACTTCGTGAGGCTCTTCTGCGACTACGTGACTTGACGCAGCAACAAGAAGAGGAACTCCGCGACCAGATTAAGACTTTGGAGGTTGAGCTTCAGGACTATGACGTTGTTCAAGAGCAGTTTGATGCAGCCAAGGAGAAGCTTGCACAGTCTGAGGGGGCTGTTGAGGATCTGCGGCAGCAGCTGGATAATGCACTGGGCGCCGAGGATATGATCGAGGATCTCACCGAACGTAACATGAGCATGTCCGAGCAGATTGACGAGCTCAAGGCTGTCATCGAGGATCTCGAAAACTTGAAGGAGGTAAACGACGAACTTGAAATCAACCATGTCCAGAACGAAAAGGAGATGCAGGAGGACCTCGACTTCAAGGACAGTGTCATCGCGGAGCAGGCCCGGCGAGCAGGCGAGCAGGAGGAGGCCTTGGAAGACATGGAGTATACTCTGTCTCGCTTCAGGGGCTTGGTCACCAGCCTTCAGAGCGATCTCGAAGACATGCGGGCATCTCATGCCGTCACTGAAACGGAATCCGAACAGCTCAACAGCAAGTCCCGCGCTATGATGGATCTGAACATGAAGTTGCAGATCTCTGCCTCCAAGGCTCAGGTCAAGACGATCGATCTCGAGCTTCGCAGGCTAGAGGCCCAAGAAGCCGAGCAGCACCTCGAGATTGTCAAGCTCTTCCTGCCCGACACTTACAAGGAAGATCAAGACTCTGTGCTTGCCCTTCTCAGATTCAAGCGCTTGGCTTTCAAGGCGGAGCTTCTGCAAGGATTCATCAAGGAGCGCGTCAACGGCCAGCCTCACCCCGGCCACGAGGACGATATCTTTGCTGCCTGTGACGCCATTGACAAGCTCACTTGGGTCGCGTCCATGTGCGAGCGCTTCACTAACGCCATCAGCCACTGCTCGATCGAGCAGTTCCAGCGCTACCAGAACGCGTTGTTCGAGCTTGAACCCGTTGAGCGTGCGCTGAACGGATGGATCGATGGTTTGCGTCGCGATGAGCTGAAGGAGAAGAAGTGCGCGGACGAACTTCAACGTACCATTGCACTCATGTCTCATCTGGCGGAGGTCCACCTCACGAACGAATTGCCCGACTTCGCCGAGGACACGTATATGCAGACTGTTGTCATGCAAAGCCATCTGGACTCTGCGGCCACTACTTTTGCTACGATGCGGAGCATGGTCCAAAGGGTCGTGCCCGCCGAGTCTGACGAGGACGAGATGGCAGAGCACTTCAGCAAGAAGTCTGAATTGGTCGTTACCCAGACCCGCAGCGCCAAGGTCATCGCCGGTAAGGCCGTCAGGGCCCTTCAAGACCTCAAGGCCAGATCCCTGGCGCTGCCACAAGAAACCAAGGAGTCCTTCGAGCAATGCCTGGATGCCACCCGCCAGCTTGCTGCCTTGGCGCGTGAGATCGGTTTGGATCTCCATCTTCTTCTGCATGAGGAGGGCCGGGCCGAGGCGCACACGTATCAAGAGATTCAAGACACCATTGCGAAGGCCACCGTCAAGGTTGCCTCATCAAGCGAGTCTGACCTCTTCTCTACCTACCTGGCCAAACTTCGCAGTCTCACGAGCCAGATCTCGGACCTGGCTGCACTCAGCTCGGACTTGTCCCAGACTCAAGAGTTTGACGTCAGTCCCGCGCCATGGAAGCTCCGTTCCCAGGAGCTCAAGGCCATCAAGACGATTCCGGTTGACGCTGAGGAGGAACTGCGCCGCCTTAAGGAGGAGCACAATGAAGCCCGCAGGGCCATTGCACAGCGCGAGGAGACCCTCAGCACCGCCAACCTCAAGATCGAGACTCTCGAATCGCGCATGAAGGATGCTAACGCCAAGGCTTCGCGCATCGAAAATCTCGAGGCTGAGATTGAGGCCGCCAAGCAGAGAGCTGCCAGCCTTGTTGAGGACATCGACAAGCAGGACCGCGAGCTCAAGACATTGGAGACGGACCGCGACAAGTGGAAGAAGATCGCTGGCGACAGCAAGGCCTTTGCCGACGGCGCCGGTGCCGCGGGCGCCAAGGCAGGACAAGAGCGTGCCGTCGCCACCGCCCGCGAGATGGACGCCCTCAAGAGCGACATCGCCAGTCTACAAGCCGCGGTACGCTACCTGCGGGAGGACAACCGTCGCGCCCGTACAACTGAACAGCACAACTACGACTGGCTCGCGGAGCCTCTCACAAAGTCGGCATCCGTCGTCGAGCAGCGTCGCGCGCTCGTCGTGGCGGAGGGCAAGGACGTGCTCAGCGAGCTAGTCAAGTTCACGACTTCAGCCAGGGTGTACGACCTCGGTGCCCTCCCCGAAGACAAGTTGGCATGGAAGCCGGCGCGCAGTACGCCGCAGTACCACGCGGCCAAGCAGAAGGAGGACCTCGCGGCGTGGAAGAGCTGGCGGGACTCGGTGTTCAAGAAGTCGGAGGTCGTCCTCGGCCGCAAGGATGGCGCCGCGGAGAAGAAGAAGCAGATGATGAGGAACGTGGCGGCGAGGCTGCAGATTCGCCTACCGGACGCGGACGGCAAGATGGTGCCGGGCGGCGGCCGGGATGTGCAGATTGTGGGATCTCGCGAGTGGGAGGGATTGCAGGGCCGCCTTGCGGCTGTATGATTATCAAGCGAGGATAGCAGGACCAGTGGCTAGATACCCCCCATCCTTATGTCCAGCATCTATTTCTGTTTCATGCGTTGTACTTTTTTCTTCTTCCCCGTTCCCCGCCCGTGACATCGTAATAACTCGTGGTCCCGGTTTATCCTCATGATGATGTACATGCACGTATGTATAGCTAGCAACGACACTCTTTTGCGGTTCCAGAAACCTCCGCCCGGACAGCAACATCATCTTCTTCACCTCACTCATGCTTTGCCCTTGCCCTTCTTCTTCTTGGCGGGTTTATCCTCCGCTCCGCTGCCGCCGCCGCCGCCACCGGCCGCCTGCCCCATCAACGCGGCCATCGGGTCCCCTCCGCCCTGCATCTCCTTCATCATGTCCTTGAAAAAGTTCTCGCTCACGCCGCCGCCCGTCATGGCGGGACTGATGTACGGCAGCAGGTCGCCCATCTTCCAGCCCCGCGGGACCGCGGGCCGGGGCCACGGCTTGCTCGGGTCCGCCGCGGGGGCGCCCTGCACGCGCGCCCTCAGCGCCGCGCTGTCCTCCGTCGTCGGGTTCGCCTTGAGGTGCTTCGCCACGAGGATGTAGAGGTGGTGCTTGTTGTTGATCTGCGGCATGCCGTGGGGCTTCTGGTTGGGGCTGGCCTTGCCGCCGTCCTTGCCGCGTCCCGCCTCGCCGCCGAAGCGTATCCTGACCTTGACGCGGCCCGGGTTCGCCCAGTCCTTGGGGTGGAACTTGCCCGTCTCGAAGAGGGTGGGGAGGTGCATGGCGGCGCAGGCGTTGACGATCTCGCGCGCGATCGGGTTCGTGACGGCCAGCTCCTTGGGCACGCGGCGGCCCTCGGCGCGCGTGCGCCGGGCGTCGAAGTAGACCGGGTACAGGCACTGGAAGTCGGCGTACTGCTTCGGGTCGTTTGCCGTTTGCCATTCCGGGCCTCCTGCGCCGGCTCGGGGCGCGGCGGCGGCGGCGGAGGGTATGTTGGCCGGGTTGATGTGCGAGGCGGCGGCGGCGGCGGCCGAGGAGGAGGTGGTGGAGGACTTGGGTTCGACCCGTCGCATAATGTCCATGTCGTCGAACTCGTCGATGTCGCCCTCGGAGGGGTCAGACGCCTCGATGTCGCTGTCTTCGACCTCCTCTACCCTTGGGTGTGACATTTTGGCGAGGTCTTGTGTGGGTATACGCCGGATTGGCTTTGCGGTATCGTCGTGCAAGGTGCCACTGCCGGAGGAGGGCGTTAGGGGTCGCGGTGTGGTGTTGGTGGTGGTGGTGGAGGTTTGGATATGGGAAGTGAGGATACAGTTGTCGATTGGGAGGAGGCTCTACTAATCCCCTCTGGGATTTTGGCATATATATGTGGGGTCGGGAACCGAAGGTTCGTTGTGGTGGTGGGGGAATGTCGCTGCGGGGCCCACCCACTACACCGACCAGGGTTCAGGAGCTACCTACGGGCGGACAGCTCAAGCTAGGTCAAACGTCATCTCAACACACGCAGGAACGCTCTCCGTCGATGAAGAGACGATCATCGACGGAGTTTATCACCGATGCATGAAGAAATACTATTCGCGGTTTATACATAGTCTAACATGCCAGCATTTAACAATTTAAAGATACACAACGTCTCACGAAAGCCACGTCCAGCTGTCTCCCATGCATTTCCGCCTCGAAACGAGTGGATTGTCGACCCCGTGTCCCAAGTGTCAAAATGATTTGCCTGCTACCTCATGCGGCAGGACCCTCTTTCAGTTTTTAGTTCTCGTGAATTTTGCTATTCTTGAATTTGGTTCCGGGCGGGTGATCGGAGATTCGGAACTTGCAGTAAGGGTGGGTGCAAGTGTTGCCAACCACGCTGGGGCACTGAAAATGAGTTAGCTTAGGCAGGGAGAAGTTCGTCATGAAAACCTACGTGATGTCCGTAGATGCAATTATCGACATCGCACTCCTGGCCGCTGGTGCATGGATTGAGACGGGTCAAGAGCGCGATAGCATTGATTTCGTCGTTGTTAGGCCGGTAGTTGTGCTCAAAGCAGCACTCATCACCCTTGGCGCAAGGGCCACGAAGGTAATGGTTGTTGCACAACTTGCTGGCCCCAGTTCTTTTCTTAATGTTTTCCAAAGCCACCTGGTTGATGGGGATGGTCGGATCGAGTCCGCGCTCTCCAGGATTCCACGCCGGGCTCTGTTGCGCTTTGGGTTGGGAGGCCTGTCGGACTGGAAGGTTGATGTTTTTGTTGGCTAAAGGGGTGGTAATTTGAGGAGGAGGGCTCGCCTTTGTGACCCCAGCCCAGGATGAGGACGCCGGTGCAGAAGCTGGCGGAGAAACAGCAAGGGTGGGAGACGTGGTCACTACCGAGGGCTTGAAGTACGTCGACTCGGCGGATCGGTCACCGCTGCGGTCGATGAGCTTTTGGTTCCGGAACAAGCTGGGTAGCGGTTCCAGGATGTGGACGCTGGTATTTTTCAGCTCTCTGACCGTCGCAATACCCTCAATCAGGCAGACTCTGGAGCGGCTTTCCTTATCCTGGAGAATCTCGTCGAGGAATGGAGCATACCCGGCGTCGTGAGAGATGCCCAGCAAAATTTGTCTGCAGTTGTAGTTTCGCAAATGCCATCTCGTAGCCTCTGCAGCGTCAAGTCAGCCATCTGGAATTGGTAACGAGCTTCTCACGTCGGAAATCTTTCCGAGGTCGCGTGACCCGCATCTCTCAGCGGCCGGCCATCGTACGACAACATACCTTTGATTTTGGAGTCAGCACGTTCCTTACCGTGACCGACGTCTACGAAATCAAATGAAGCTTTGGCCTGCGTGAAGCCTAACGAAAAATCCTTGAGCTCCGACTCGCTATCCAAGCAGCCGTCGCGGCGCATGGCACGCCCCAGACCCGACATGTTTGCGCAAACTTTGGCGATGATCTCTACTTCACCAGCCTGGCTGCCCACGTATTCGGCGACGGCGGATCGGAGGGCATAGGCAGCTTGCTTGCCACCTTCGATACCCATCTTGATGTAGTGTTCTTGGAACTGGAGCGGTCCTGGTCAGCGTCTGCGCGCAGAACATGGAGATGTCGCGGGAGATACGTACAAGAAGGCCATCGCCATCAATCAGAATCACGACATATGGGTTGCGGTGCTAGAACGGTCAGTGACGCTCGGCGCACACGATATCTTGTCGCAGCTCCACGGGCGGTGTTTTACCTTGAGATAGTTGTTATCTGACTCAAGACCCGACAGCGTCTGCTGCATCTCCCTCCGGGAAATCGTGGCATGTTCAAGGTCGAGCTTGGCGTTGCGCAGCTCTTGCTTGAGAAGCTGGTTTTCTTCTCCGTACGTCTTCTGAACTTCTTTGGCATAAATCAAAAGATCCTGTAAAGAGAGAGAAATAGGAAAAAGGTTAGTTCGATGTATTAATCAACAATGCCTCCAAAGTTTATTTGGATGCGGAGATTGAGAGCTTGGTGAGGAGAGCGGTTCGTCTCTTCGCGCCTCTGGCATGGAAATGGGACGGCGATGAGGTGGGATTGCAAGCAGCCCAGACAGCGCAGGGCATCGCAGGGCACCATGTCCAGGGCGCGCCCGTGATGGTGCGTTGTGTTGGGCCGGGACAGGGGAATTTGGGGGGGGGGGGGGGGGGGGGGGTCGAATT